CGCCCGCGGTGCCAGCCTCCAGCGTCCGGCGCTTCAGATCCTCCTCTGCTTTCCGACGTTCCTCTTCCTGTCTCTTCAGCTCCTCTTCCTGCTTCCTCAGCTTCTCCTGCTCCACCCTTTGTTTCTCGGCCTCAACAATCTCACCCAGACGGCCAATATGGCTTTGTACCGTCTTCGCTGCAGCTTCCGCAGCTGTTGCCTGCTGGTCGGCCTTATCCGCAGCCGACGTGGCGTTCCCTGCCGCTTCTTGAGCAGTTCTTGCCGCCATCTCCGCTGGCTCCAGTTTCTTCAGAATGTCCGTTGCTGCAACAACACTAACCGCCAGCTCACCCATCTGTTTCGTTCTCTGTTCCATTTTCTGTTTCTTTTTGTCTTCGTCTTCATCTTCCTTTGATACAAGTTCAAGTGAAGTACCAGCTTCCCCACATAAAATAAGGTTTGGCTCCTTTGCGGCCGCCGCTGCTGCTGCTGCGGTTGCATTTGCCTTCTCGAGGGCTGCTCTACCCGCGTTGCGTGCGATCAAGGCCTTCGCTTTGGCTTTCTGGGCGGCCTCCTCAGAATTCCTGATGGCCTCCATGGCTTTTTCTTTCTTTCCCTCAAGGTACTCCTTGGCTGCGGCAGGTGTGCTTGCGGCTGCTTCAGCCTCACCGGCAACTCGGTCGGCCTCTCTCACAGCCGCCTCAGCCTTTCCTGCTGCTTCCTCGGCGGGCCCCTTCGCAGCCAACGCTGCTGGCACAACAGTAGCGGCAGCCTCCCCCAGTTTAATGGCAGTACCAGCCAAATCGTAAGCTTGTTTCAGAATACCGTCTGCCTTTGCTTTCTCTAGAACTTCCCGAATTTTAGTCTCCCTTTCTTCGACAGAGGGTACCTTTGCCACTTTTTTGTTAACCTGCGCCTCCGTTGCGCTCACTGTGCCGCGGTGGCGGTGGCCCCTCAGTCCGACACTTGCCTCCGTCTGTGTGGCAGCAGCCGACACGCACAGCGACACGCAGCACAGCGCGAGAGCCAGCACGGACAGAACGTGGCGCCCCACAGTCATCATTGCCAGAATTGCCTCAGCAGGTGGTCTGCGCAAAAGAGGAAAGAGAGAGAAGAGGCACACACTCACACACCCAATGGCAAGCAAGCCAGGACAGGGCAAGCAACGGCAGCAACAGACAGGCAGCGGTGCAAGGCATCACAACTGTTCAGCATGCAGCGTGGCGCACCAGAACAATGTGTTCGCTTACGAAATAGAACCCACTTTCGGAAGCAGCGCACAGCGGCGCAGCAAGCAAAGCCCAAACACCCAGGAGAGGGGAGAAAACGGGTGCAACACCTTACCAGTGGTAGAGCACCCAATTATGTACAGGCACCGGGGACGACAGCAACGCTGGACCCCGCATGCCTGGCAGCAAAGAAAGAAGAAAAGACACCAAACCCTCTGGGAATGATCCACAGAGCAACACACAATCGCAAGAAAACTAATCATTGCCGTAGCATTTACCACACGGCAGTGCAGAACAGCGCTGCCAGTAACTTAAGCAGCAGAGACGGCGCTTGGGCCCATGCTGGTGCGCTGCTGTCGCCCACGTAGAGGTTAGCAATCGTCTTGCCGTTGTCCTTGTCACTCGCAGAGGCAGAGGCAAGGGAGCCCCCCGCTGACGCAGCAGCTTCGCCCGCGGTGCCAGCCTCATTTTCGGGCGGGGCATCGAGGGAGTCTGCGTTGTCGGTACGTGACACAGTGCCTTCTTCCAGCGTTTTACTTTTCAACTTCTCTGCTTTTCCCTGTTCCACACTTTCATAAACTCTTTGAACAATACTTGTTAGTCGATCTATACCAGTTCTGACGTCGTTCGCGGCAGTTTCGGCAGCACTTGCCTGCTGCTCGGCTTCTTCCGCAGCCAAAGTGGCGTTCGCTGCCGCTTCTTCAGCATCCACTGCCGCTTTCACGGGGCCTTCAATCTTCCTCAGCACAATAAAAACAGCCAGCATCAATGTCTCATTAGATTTCGTATCGGTTGTTAGCAGCGCTTCATCATTCGCAACCTTATTCACAGCTTGCTCTGTGGCCTTCACCGCCTCCCAGGCAGAAGTCGCTGCCGCACTTGCTGCCGCTGCCTTTGACTTAGCGTCCGTTGCTGCCATTTGAGCGCTCCGTATGACATTTTCCGCCTTTTCTTTATTTTCCTCAAGGAATTTCTTAGCCATTGAAGGTGTTCTCGCCGCTTGTCTAGCTTCCATGACAATTCGTTTGGCTTCTATCACGACTTTCTCAGCCTCTCCTGCTGCTTCCAATGCCGTATCCTTTGCAGCCCACGCTGTTGTCGCAGAAACAGTGACATCCTTCTCCTTTGCAGCAGTCTGCTCAGACAAAGTTTTCACACTTTGAAGCTTGGACGGAAAGAACTTCTCAACGTCAGCGATGCGTGCTTCCGTCTCCGGTCTAAGTGAATTCTTAAAGGCTTCAGCCTTCACCAACAGTGTCGTCGGCACTGACTTTTCCACGCTTGCCTCCGTCTGTGTGGCAGCAGCCGACACGCACAGCGACGCGCAGCACAGCACGAGAGCCAGCACGGACAGAACGTGGCGCCCCACAGTCATCATTGCCAGAATTGCCTCAGCAGGTGGTCTGCGCAAAAGAGGAAAGAGAGAGGAGAGGCGCACACACACACTCACTCAGGGACAAACAGGCCAGCACAGGGCAAACAACAGCAGCCACAGAACTGCGGAGAGAAAAAAAAAACACCACACCCACCACACACGTGCCTTTTTCGTAGTACATAATGGGCCGCTTAGGAGAGCCCTGAAAGGAGGATGCTGCAAGGCACCGCAAACAATTCATACGAGATACGATGCCCTTAGCGTAAAAGAGTCATGCACAGTCAATCACACACAGCGGTGCCTCCTACGCGTCGGGCTGACCTCTTATACCCGATTGTGACACGTTGGACGATTATTTGCAGCAGCCGTTTTCACAGCTCTGCAAAGAAGAAATGACATCACTGTAGCACGAGTGGCGTGCATGCAAGCACCATTCGTGAACATCACAACAGCACCATCAAAAGAGACTCTAATCCAGACGAAGTATTGAACCCAGCAGCATCGCCGCAAATAGCATCAATTCCTTAGAAACCAAACAGTCAACCGGGTTGCAAACCGACCATCAGTCGCCGGAGAGCAGTCCCCATATGCGTGACTGTGCTCGGAGAATGAGACAACATCCATCCATGAGACATTTCACTTGCTGTCTTGCGCACAAGAAAGCGACCTTTATGCCTTCAGTGTGACACTCCTTGGCGTGGCATTTCTTCTCACGCATCTCCTTCCTCTTGCTCTTCTTCGCAGTCAACCGAAGATCACTCTAGGCCATGCAATGTAGCTTCCACTGCGGAACAGTAAGTGACTCACTTCGCTCTGCAGACCCGAACAAAAAAAAAAAATCAGGGAAAAGCATTTTGCGTTTCACTCACGTATCTCTATCGTATTGTGCATCATCAACACTTACATCCATCAAAGGGTAGATAATTCTCGAAGACAGCTCGTTCGCAATAAACAAAAATAAATAGGTGCTAACCAAAAAAAAAAAAGTGCCCAAACCACGTTCCTACCCGCCTCCAGCACAAGGCGGAGAGGGTTGAGCAGGCTGGGCCTTTAAACACTCACGCAGTGCGTCAATCCCTGCACAGATATAAGAAAAAAAAAGGAAAATCGTTCTCACTACAAAAAGAAAGGAAAGATCAGCCAGTCCCCTCGCAACCCGAAAAAGGGAGAAAAAAAAANTCCCACAGACACACACCTGTCAGGGAGGCGTGCAATCCTGCCGATTCAAGCAGCCGCGGACGCTCCCCCCCGAGAGAGCTCTGCGATCATCGCCGTCGTTGCTGAAAAGAACCTGGGGTCCGGTGGAGTCCGCCATCTCGCGCGCGCCTCGATGGTCCATCACCCGCCGCAGGCGCTCAATTCCGCCTGAGCCGTGCGACGCCCCGGACTCTTCCAATCGCGACAGCAACGCCTCCAGCTGAGGTGGTCGGTATGCGCGCAGTCCGAGAATGTACTCCCGCATCTTCTCGCCGTCCTCCCCCGCCTCGTTCAGACGCCGCAGCGCGTCGTTCAAGCGAACGCGCAGTTCCTCCGCCACAGTCTCAATGTCGCTAAGGCGCACAGAGAGCGCGAGATTCTGCGCGGCGAGCGAAGAGCCGTCGCCCAGCAGAAGCTGGGTCGTCTCGTCCACCTTCCGGCGTTGGCGCTCCAGCTCCTGCACGCAGCGCCGCAGATCCTCCTCCGCCATCCGCCGGCGACGCGCCTCATCGTCGCACAAGGCGCGGAGGGCCCGCTGCTGCTCCTCCACCACTGCAGACTTTGGCGAGCGGCGCAGCTGCTCTCGCAACGCACCGCATTCTTCTTCCAGCGCCCTCAAGGCACGGAGGGCAGTGTCCCTCTCCCCCCAAGCTCTTTCTACCTCCGTATTCAGCGCCTCCACTCTGGCCAACAACACGTCTCGTTCGGCGTCGCTGCTCTCAGCCCCCACCTGCAGTGTGGAAGTGCACTTCGCCAGCTCCGCATCACCCGCAGACACGGCATTCCTCGCAACTGGGCAATCATCAAAAGAAACCACCGCGGGTCCACGCAACGCGTAAGAATGACGTTCCCTATACTCCTCCGTCTCGACTCTCTCCGCAGACAGCACAGCGCTTCGGTCTCTTTGTGAACGGCCATTACCCCGAATACTTTGTCCATCATACTGCAAGACCTCTACTCGCTTCCTGGGAACAGCTACATCTTCCTGCAGTGCGGAATTAGCCCCGCTCAAACCCTCCAACTTCATCTGCAGTTGCCGGATTAGCTCCGCGTTGGCCCGCAGGTCGAGGTCCTTCTCGCCGTTTGTGCGCTTCAGCCGCGAGATCAGCGGCTTCAGACGGCTGTCAACGAACGTTTGCAACGCAGCGTACTCTTCCTCCGTGTCAGCAAGCCTTGCTTCTACAGCCCTCAGCACTGCCAGCGATCCTTCACCATCCCCCCGACACAAGCCCGCCTCCTCCCGCAGCTGCCGAATCAGATCCGCTTTGGCTCGCAGGTCGAGGTCCTTCTCGCCGTTTGTGCGCTTCAGCCCCGAGATCAGCGGCTTCAGACGGCTGTCAACGAACGTTTGCAACGCAGCGTACTCTTCCTCCATTTTGGCATTTTCTTCTTGAGCTGATACAAAGCGTTCTTGGAGGCCTTTCAACTCCCTTTGCAGAAACAGCTTCTCCTCTGTCGTTTTCTCGACTGCCTTATGAAGCCGCGCTATCTCTTCACTCTGCGCAACGATGGTCTGCTCGCGATTCTTTTCGCCGCTGGCGACGCTGCTCAGCAACTCCTTCAACACACTCTTCTCTTCTTCGGCAGTCGCGAGAGCCCTCTTAAGTTCGTTGTGCTTCCACACGACTGTGCGGGCGTATATTTCAATAACACCAGGAAAGGCATGCGTCCGAAGTCGGCGCTGAATTTCCTCCGCAGGGATGGCCATGCTGTGCGTGACAGACACTCGGCCTACCAGGTCACCACCCCCGATGGCCACCGTCAAGCGCGACAGACACTCGACAGGTACCCCCAGCGCCTGCGCCACGTCGCGGCAGAACGCCGTGCGCAGCCCCGACGCGTCGCTGAGAAGGACCTCGGGCCACGCATCACCCTGGAAGCGCCGCTCATGGTGCGTGACAATGGAAGGAGCGTCACCANCGCAGGTCGAGGTCCTTCTCGCCGTTTGTGCGCTTCAGCCGCGAGATCAGCGGCTTCAGACGGCTGTCAACGAACGTTTGCAACGCAGCGTACTCTTCCTCCGTGTCAGCAAGCCTTGCTTCTACAGCCCTCAGCACTGCCACCGATCCTTCACAGCCAGACTCCCCCAGGACCGTCATAGCGGTCAAACTGGGGGTATCACATGCACCGGCACTACCACCATACCCCACATTATCGCCCGGCATCGTTGTCAGCTCACAGGAACGCGGACGGGCAGGATCTGAACCCACTCGCGATGTAAGATCTCCTTCGTCCGTCGCCGCACCGCCGTCAGGTGGGCGTCGATCGCGCAGTTTCTGTCGTAGTGGCGTGTTGTCGTCCCTCAGCGCCTGCTGGGACTGCTTCTCATGGAACAGTTCAAGCTTCGCTCTACGGCGCTCAGACTCCAACAGCTTCGTCAGCCTCGTCACTTCGCTGCGCAACGCCCCAATATCCTCATGGGCTTTGGCGGTCACACCCTTTTCCCCCTCTCCCTCTCTTGGCAGTGGGGCAATCTCGCCCAGTGAGTCGGCTTCAAGCACGATCGGCACAGACTCGGCGTTCCAGCACTGAATATGGCCGGCAGACCCTGTGCTCCATACCTTCCACGCAACAGTCGGCACAATCTTGCGGATGGCGAGCACCGATGTGTGTCCCAGCTGCGCCAACTGCGACAGGTCCTGCACCGGTGCGAGTGCCTTGGGGCTCCACAGCAGCATTCGCCCGTGCTTGTCGCCGCTCCACACACGGTGATCTACAAGCGTCAAGCAGCTGACCGGCGCAGAGTGGCCACGCAGCACCTTGACGCACTGCAATGTTTGAAGATCCCACACACGTATTGTGGCGTCCTCCCCGGCGGACCACAACTGATTGTTCGGAGCAACAAGCTCAAGCGCAAGGACTCCCAGCGAGTGCCCAACAAACGTGTGCATGCACGTCTTCTCGTCTTTCGTCATCTCTACAGGGGCGTAGGGGTCCCACGCCCTCACCGTGCCGTCGTCGCTCCCCGAGAAAAGCACGCCGCCCGTCGCGCCAGAATACGGGCAGAAGCAGCGGACGGTATTGCTGTGGCCGAAGAACAGCCGCTCGTACTGACAAGTAGTCTTATCCCAACGGTATATCTTCCAGTCCCGGCCACCAGTGTAGACGCACCCCTCCATCTCAACCATACACTCCACTGCCCCATCGTGCTGTAGAAACTCACCCTCCAGTGCAAAGCTGGCGACGTCATGGACGCGGATGAACCCGTCGCTAAATGCCGCCCACACCTTGCCCGTTTGTTCAATAAAAAGCAGACACGTGCAGAAGGCACCCGCACGACCCTCCAGCACCCTCATCTCCGTCCCCTTTGGAACGGCACGGGCACGAATCGAGCCGTCAGTGTCGGCCGTCCACGCAACGTGGTCGCTCACAACCTCCACGTGACGCACGGCGCCTTCCACACTGAAGAGAGGCGTCACATCCATCACACGGCTGCTGAACTTGCTGTGGTTCGGAGTGGACGAGCGGCTTTTTCTGACACGGGTGCGAGTCGTGCTACGGTTCGGAGAGAGACGACTTTGGCGCTGTACACTCGTGCTAGGACTCCGCGACACACTGAACAGTTGTTGGAACGACGTTGATGTCGCGGTGCGCCGTGTGCTGCTCATGTCTGTACTGGTGACACGGCGTTCCCCTCGTGGGATTAGAAACGTACAAGCAATCAACTGGGCACCAATATATATATATATATATTGACGCGCACAAGGAAGAAAAAAAAACAGAAACGAACGTAAGCTTGGTCGTGAAGCAGCCCAGCTACCCGCTCTCCAACTCGCAGCTAAACAGAGAACCACGCACGACAACGATGATGGCCGGACAAACTCCTTCTCGCTCCAACTATGACACCATGCAAAAGGAAACAGAGACCGCGGGAGAGAAAAGGAATACACACAAACGCCACACACACAGCTACCCAACAACGCACAGCAGGAACAAAGAAATGAAGG